CTCTCTCTCTATTCTCCCAAACCTAGCCGCGACACCCAGGCAGTCACCCACTCCGCGACGACCTCCGGATCCCCCTTCCTCGCCCTCTGTTCTGAACCCACCCTCAGCTTCATCAAAATGGTCATCAATCGCAGCGGCGACAACGCCAAGGTTCAAAAAATTCCCGGAATTTGCAGCCACTACATGAACGCCATTGAAGAAATACTGGAACACTCTCAGCAAGAACTGCAAGGATAAAAAGCAATGAGCACAATACTTAATGATGACATCTGAAGGTATAGCTCATGAATCTATTACATATCTATATTTTAAATAATTGTCAATCATTGCAAACCAGACATATCTTTGTTGCACGTATATATAGCAATGATTTTTAAAATATACCTGAAAGTTTTTGGGCTTGAAACTCTGTGAGCTTGGCTGCAAACCCAGAGAAACCATGTCTATAACTGTTTACCATTAATTCTGAGGCCAATTCCTTGCCGGGGTCAGGGAGGATGATAGTGGCGGTGGGGTTTGGATAATCTAGGTATCTTTTTTACTTTATTTTTTTGGTTATTTTATTCTTGGTTTTTTTTGGGGAGGGGGGGTTTTGGTTATCTTTGTTTTTGGACCGAAATGCCCCTCAACAACTAACGACAGTTACTCTATTTTGACAGAAATTGAAGATTGTCCTTAAATTGCTTAAATTGAAAATTACAGGGACAAAATTAATCAAATTGAAACAACAAGGACCAAAGTGGTAAAAGTGACAAACTACAGGGACCAAAAATGGTGGACGAACCAGGTTCAAATACAGTGCTTCACTGGAGCACAGACGGCGAGAAAAAGAAGTCTGAGGGCAAAGTTACAACCTATAAATTCTACAATTACACTTCTGGTTACATCCACCACACCATCATCAGAAATTTAAAGGTAAACTTGATACGCTCTTATGTTTTGCCTCATTTCTTTTTCCTTCAAATGCATAGGTTGATTGTAGAATTTGCTGATTGTAATGATGATTGCAGTAAAGTGTAATTTACAAATTGTAGTGTGATCTAATCCTATACGTTCTTGCACAGTTCAATACCAAATACTACTATGTGGCTGGAATTGGCCACACTGAGCGGCAGTTTTGGTTTATAACTCCTCCTGAAGTTGGGCCAGATGTCCCTTACACATTTGGTCTCATAGGTGAGTATTTCGTATCAGAGCAGGATGCATTGTAAAGTAATGTAGCTATTTACATCTGGTTCAACTTTTGGCATTGAGATTGAAAAGGAAATTTCATGCTATTGACTAGCTTAGAGGTGTTGCAACAAGCCTCCTACATTCATCTTGAATGATACCGAACCAAATTAGAGCTCTTTATCTTATGAAACTTGTCCCTTAGTGTGCAAGTCTGTCATTTGAAACAGTTTTCCTTAACTTGGGAATTACGTAATCGATGAGATGCAATTGTCTGTGTTTGTGAAATGTAAATTGTTCCACTCTAATGTAACTTGGGTATCATTTTCAGGTGATCTGGGTCAGACCTATGATTCGAATGCGACGCTTACTCATTATGAATTGAACCCACAGAAAGGACAAGCAGTATTGTTTGTTGGGAACCTCTCTTATGCAGATCTCTACCCAAATCATGATAATGTCAGGTGGGATACATGGGGAAGATTCACCGAGAGAAGTGTTGCTTATCAACCTTGGATATGGACTGCAGGGAATCATGATATTGATTTTGCCCCAGAAATTGTAAGCATCTCTTAAAACATTTGTTTGCTCTAGAAAATAAGATTATACTCTAATTTTCCATTTCTCGTCTTCGATATATAAGATCATTTGTATTTATATAATCTGTCTTCAGTATGATTTATATGCGCATGTGTATAGTGTAATGTTCTTTTCTGTATATCTTGTATTTTACAAAATTTAACGCAATATTTATATTTGCTGCTCATTTTATAAAAAAGTCATTGGATGAATTATTTTTCTGAAAGGAAGTTTGGAATTTTTGTTGCAGGGTGAACCCGAACCTTTTAAGCCTTACACTTACCGGTATCCTGTCCCACATAATGCATCAGGGAGTACCTCCCCACTTTGGTAGTCAATCAAGAGAGCTTCGGCATACATCATAGTCTTATCTTCTTATTCAGCATATGGTAAGGTTATACATAAATATATTAACATCGTACAAAAGGCTTGTGCACATATGCAGCAGAAGATACTGTTTCAAAATTTCCTTTTCTGAATATCAAATGCATAACTTTTCTGAATGCTCCTTGCATTTTTTACATCAGCTCCTCTTTTGCTCCCTTTTATAGTGAATTTTTGCGCGGTTTCGGAGGTTGGAATCCCCAATAACGTGAAATTGTTATCTCTTATTTTCATGGATTTGTACAGTAGTATATTGTTGTATTCATCTCTGCCTTTTAAGCCTTACACTTACCGGTATCCTGTCCCACATAATGCATCAGGGAGTACCTCCCCACTTTGGTAGTCAATCAAGAGAGCTTCGGCATACATCATAGTCTTATCTTCTTATTCAGCATATGGTAAGGTTATACATAAATATATTAACATCGTACAAAAGGCTTGTGCACATATGCAGCAGAAGATACTGTTTTAAAATTTCCTTTTCTGAATATCAAATGCATAACTTTTCTGAATGCTCCTTGCATTTTTTACATCAGCTCCTCTTTTGCTCCCTTTTATACTGAATTTTTGCGCGGTTTCGGAGGTTGGAATCCCCAATAACGTGAAATTGTTATCTCTTGTTTTCATGGATTTGTACAGTAGTATATTGTTGTATTCATCTCCTCAAATGACATCATGTAAATTCCTTAGAACATTAGTACTGATTGCTCAAATTATACCCTAGTGATATTCTGTAATGACTGTGTTTTAAAATGATAGAATTTTTCTTCCAAGATTATCGTGTGCACTATACACCGATAAGAATTTCCTTTTCTCCACAGAAGGTCCAGTCAATTCCTTAACTCTGTACATAGGTCACATTTGCAATGTCTGTGTTAAAGCAAGTGCTTCAACAATCTCATTTCCATATCATTCCTTTTTTAAGGTAAATACACTCCTCAGAACAAATGGATTGAGAAGGAGCTACCAAAGATTAACAGAAGTGAGACACCATGGTTGATTGTTTTAATGCATTCACCATTGTATAATAGCTACACCACTCACTATATGGAAGGAGAAACCATGAGAGTGATGTATGAGCCATTGTTTGTGAAGTACAAGGTTGACGTGGTATTTGCTGGTCATGTCCGTGCCTATGAACGATCTGTAAGTGCTTCATATACATACCCTGGCCATGTCCATAAAATGCAAATAATTTCCCAGTTATTTGGTGATCTGCATAGAACTAACATAGAAGATTTTTAAATTCAACATATTGATCCGATTTATTGAAAATTTTAATCATTCGAGAAAGAATACCAAACTCATCTGAGGAAAAGTACATTGCAGAAATGCCTATACCTAATACTAAAGCACACTGTATTTGTTTTAATTTACCATCCTCCATCTACTCTCAAGATTCAAGATGTCAGAACTTGATCAGTCACTGATTTGTGTATACCACAGTATCGCATATCCAATGTCGCATACAACATCGTAAATGGTATTTGCCTTCCTGTGAAAAATCAATCCGCACCGGTCTACATTACCATTGGTGATGGAGGAAATATTGAGGGCTTAGCAACCAAGCAAGTATATTTGTATGCCTGACAGATTTGGTGTTTTCTGATTCATTTCCGTAAGTATTTGTCAGCACTGCATACTGAGTCTATGAAAAATTCCTTTTGTGATGCAGTATGACAGAACCACAGCCAGCTTACTCATCTTTTAGAGAGGCCAGTTTTGGCCATGCTACTTTCGACATCAAGAACCGAACCCATGCTTACTATGGTTGGCACCGGAATCAAGATGGATATGCAGTAACAACTGATTCTATGTGGTTTTTTAACAGATATTATCATCCTGATGATGATTCTACAAGTGCCCAACACTACTAGAAAAAGGCTTATAAGCCACATCATGGAAAAAAATGAAAAGACCTTGTGGTTTTTTTGTAAGTGACTTTTCAATCCTTCTTTCCTTTGTAAGTAGGAACTCCTACATTCTTGTCAATGACAATATGACAGGATTACCCAAATGCAAAAATGCAAAGATTTTATGCATTTCTCTCTCTTGCTGTTATTTTTGGCTGTTTGACCTTGTGATATTATTTTATTATTATTTTTCAATTAATGTGCCTAAATTGTTGTAAAAAAACTATTATATGTCAAATTTTCACTTAAGTCATCATTAAATTCAAATTTAATGATCGATATTTGATATTTCCGGATTCTATAAACAAAAGAAACTTGGGTTGGGTTAGCTGAATTAAAAATGTGGATTTGCAAATAGATAAAATATTACTTCAAGTTGACACCCACAGGAAAATTCTAGGCCCAGCCAGTCAAACAAACAATGATGAATGAACTTCCCACACTACATTTTCCCCGAAAACTCCAAAGTCAACTTTCTCCTATCAAAGAAAAAACAAACTACATCCCATCATCATTTTTTTCCCCGAAACCCAAATTGCCTCTCTTAAATTCCCAGAGCAACACGCAATTGTTAAAGAAAATCCAGGCAATCCCCACAACCGATTTAGCATTCAAATTTCAATACGTTGACTTCCAATCTCTATTATCCGCATAGAGCCATGAATATTCCCCTCATTTTATGGAAAATCATTTTTTTTCTTTATTAGTAAACCTCTCTCTCTCTCTCTCTCTCTCTCTCTCAGTATAATTAAGACAACTTTTAGTCAATTGTTGTGGAAGAGGAACCATAAAAGACCCTTTATTTAATTGAATATCTTTTATATAAATTTGTTCTTTTTTTATTGAAAATTGATGGCTTACTTCATCATTTGCTTTCTTCTTGATGGGATTGACTGATTAATAGGTGTAGTTTTGAGTGATTTACTTTAATTTTGATATGTGTCTGATGTTTGATTTAAGGTACATATAACACAAGGAGACCAGCTGGGAAAAGCAGTGATTGTGTCATGGGTCACGGTGGAGGAACCAGGTTCCAATACAGTGCTTTACTGGAGCGCATACAGCAAGAAACAGAAATCTGAGGGCAAAGTTACAACCTATAAATTCTACAATTACACTTCTGGTTACATTCATCACACGACCATCAGAAATTTAAAGGTAAACTTGATATGCCCATGTGCTTTTGCCTCATTTATTTTTCCTTCAAATCCATAGGTTGATTGTAGAATTTGCTGATTGTAATGATGATTGCAGTAAAGTGTAATTTACAAATTGTAGTGTGATCTAATCCTATACATTCTTGCACAGTTCAATACCAAATACTACTATGTGGTTGGAATTGGCCACACTGAGCGGCAGTTTTGGTTTATAACTCCTCCTGAAGTTGGGCCAGACGTCCCTTACACATTTGGTCTCATAGGTGAGTATTCCGTATCAGAGCATGATGCATTGTAAAGTAATGTAGCTATTTACATCTGGTTCAACTTTTGGCATTGGATTGAAAAGGAGATTTCATGCTATTGACTAACTTAGAGGTGTTGCAACGAGCCTCCTACATTCATCTTGAATGATACCAAACCAAATTAGAGTTCTTTATCTTATGAAACTTGTCCCTTAGTGTGCAAGTCTGTCATTTGAAACAGTTTTCCTTAACTTGGGAACTACATAATCGATGAGATGCAATTGCCTGTGTTTGTGAAATGTAAATTGTTCTTAAATCTAAATAACATTTTACCATGATGTATCATTTTCAGGGGATCTGGGTCAGAGCTTTGATTCCAATAAGACGCTTACTCATTATGAGTTAAACCCACAGAAAGGACAAGCCGTATTGTTTGTTGGGGACCTCTCTTATGCAGATAACTACCCAAATCATGATAATGTCAGGTGGGATACATGGGGAAGATTCACTGAGAGAAGTGTTGCGTATCAACCCTGGATATGGACTGCAGGGAATCATGAAATTGATTTTGCCCCAGAAATTGTAAGCATCTCATAAAACATTTGGTTGCTCGAAAGTGAGCTTATGCTCTCATTTGCCATTTCTGGTCTTAGATGAGATCATTTGTATTTATATAATATGTCTTTAGTATTACTTGTATACGTGTGTTTGTCCTTCCAAATATCTTGTATTTGACAAAATTTAACCCAGTATCTACTGCTTATTTTGTGTATGCATTTACATGTCTCAAAAAAGTCATTGGATGAAGCATTTTCTGAAAGAAGATTGGAACTTTTGTTGCAGGGTGAAACCAAACCTTTTAAGCCTTACACTCACCGATATCATGTCCCATATAAAGCATCGGGGAGTACTGCTCCCTTTTGGTACTCAATCAAGAGAGCTTCAGCATACATCATAGTCTTGTCTTCTTATTCAGCATATGGTAATGATATAAATTTATGTTTTGGTTAATATATCAACATCATGCAAAATTTTCTTTTCTGAATATCAAATGCATAACTATGCCACTCATAAATTTATTACAAATGTCATCCTGAAATAAATAGATAAAGACATACTTTGACCCAAAAAAAAGGAAAAAAATAAAAGATAAAGACATAACTGGATACTCCTTGCATTTGTTACATCAGCTCATGTGGTCCCTGCTAATTTTTGGGTGGTTTGGAGGTTGGAATCCACAATAAACTTTAAATAGTTAGCTCTTTTTTTCATGGATTTTTACAGCAGTATACCAGTATACCGTACTCATCTCTGCAAATGACATCATGGACTGATTGTTTAAGTTATATCATAAAGATATTTTGAAACGGCTGTTTTTAAAATGATAGGATTTTGCTTCCAAATTATCATGTACACCGATTAGAATTTCTTGTTCTCCAGTCAATTTCCAACTCTGTAGAGAGGTCACATTTACAACGTCTGTGTTAAACTGAGTCCTTCAGCAATTTCATTTAACATATCATTTCCTTTGTCAAGGTAAATACACTCCTCAGTACCAATGGCTTGAGCAGGAGCTACCAAAGGTTAACAGAAGTGAGACACCATGGTTGATTGTTTTAATGCATTCACCATGGTATAATAGTTACAACTATCACTATATGGAAGGCGAAACCATGAGAGTGATGTATGAGCCATGGTTTGTGAAGTACAAGGTTGACGTGGTATTTGCTGGTCATGTCCATGCCTATGAACGATCTGTAAGTGCTTTATATACATGCCTTTGTCCCTGTGATTTGGTGTGCTTCTCTGCATAGAACTGGATATATTGTATAACAAAATAGTCTCTATTTGTACAACAAAGATTTTTAAATTCAACATATTGATCTGATTTATCGAACACTTTAATCTTTCGATAAAGTATAGGAAACCCATTTCAGGGAACGTACATTGCAGAAATGCCTATACCTAATACTAAGCACACTGTATTTTTTTATTTTTTTTTCCTTTTACCATCCTCCATCTACTGTCAAGATTCAAGATGTCAGGACTTGATAAGTGATTTCACTGATTTGTGAATACAACAGGAACGTATATCCAATGTTGCATACAACATTGTAAATGGTATTTGCATTCCCGTGAAAGATCAATCCGCACCGGTCTACATTACCATTGGTGATGGAGGAAATCTTGAAGGCTTAGCAACCAAGTAAGTATATCAGTGTGCATGATAGATTTGGTGTTAAGTATGTCAGTATGTGCGATAGATTTGGTGTTAACTGTGTCAGTATACGCTATAGTTTTCATGTTCAGTCTGTCAGTATGCGTGATAGATTTGGTGTTAAGTCAGTACTCGAGATAGAATTGGTGTTTTCTGAATCAATGCCTTTTGTTAGCACTGCATACTGAGTCTATGAAAATTTTCTTTTGTGATGCAGTATGACAGAACCCCAGCCGGCTTACTCAGCTTATAGAGAGGCCAGTTTTGGTCATGCTACTTTCGACATCAAGAACCGAACCCATGCATACTATGGTTGGCACCGGAATCAAGATGGATATGCAGTAACAGCTGATTCTATGTGGTTTTTCAACAGATACCATCATCCTGTTGATGATTCCACAAGTGCCCAATAATTAGAAGACGTTATGTTGCTATTGTTCTCTTGAATAAGTTCCCAAATGTATCAGCTAATAAAAGATTCAATAGTTTATACCTTCCCCCAACTCGTACAAATTTGAATCTCATTTATTTTGTACTTTTTGAAGAAAAAGAAAAATCTAATAGGAGGATCTGCATCATATCCTTGAGTTTCTAATACTTACAAGCCGTGGAGGCTTTAAAACCAGAGAACCAAATATATATCTACATTATCTCTGTATTGTCCTAAAGTAGATGACTCATTCAGTATGCCTGAGTTCAGCGACTTGGAGATAATGAAACAAACTCTCAATATCCTGTACAATAGACACAAACGCATAAATTCGAGACTTTATTCTCACGTAACATACGAATTAGGATATGAGAATCTCCTTCGATGTATAAATCTGAAATTCCTAATCATCAAGCCCAAGTTAACACATATTTTAAACCAATAGGGCTTCATCTTTCTAAACCGCGTATCATTCTCGTATAATGTATAGCCTGGACTTGGATTGAGGTCAGGGCCTATACCAGATCTCCAAATTGAGATGCTTTCCGTAGAAGACCTACACACTTTGAATAGCTATTAGAATAGGAGCAAACTGGGGTTGGTCCTAGTTGAACTCCCTCCGATGGTTAAGTCAGAAGTGGTTGTAAGGTGGAGAGTGAAAGTGTTGTTTTTGTTGGCTATTTCCTAGCAAATGTAAAGAGTCTGTAAGTTGGTTATTCCTTGTCTTATAATTAATTGTAACTTACGACGTTGGAGCTTGCGGCACATGAGAAGCATGATTGACTAGTGTTACACGGCAAAGCTCTTTTCTGGTAAGAATCATTTGCATTCATATAGGATTTGTATTCCTAATTAAAGATTGCTTTGGTATAAAGTCTATACAAATCTGCTTAGAGTCTTAAACAAGGAAGAGTTTTAAATAAGGCCAATCTCTTTGTTTATTAGGTAAAAGAGTTAACCTAGTATATAAAGGGTTGGGCTGGACCTTTTTCTTTACTCCCTTTGTTGCACTCTAATCAAAATCGTGAGATTGTTTTATAAGATCAAGGGAGGGAGATAAAAGGCTGTTAGGTTCTTAGATTTATCTAGGTGATAGTCTGACAGCATAACATATCATTCATTCATCGTGGAACTTTGTGGAAGCTTTGCTTGTGAGGAAGATCAACCTGCATGAATTGGTGTTCATCCAAGAGAAAGTGAAGTGGACGTGTTTGTACAAGACAAGAGTATTTGATCAATCTTCTTTTGTCCTGATGTAGGTTCAGGGTTTGCAAGGTGAGAATGTCAGTGCAAGGTGAGAAGGAGATATTTAGGGTTTAATGGATGTAGGGTTTGCAAGGTGAGAATATTTATTACATTTGTCCTGATGTAGGTTCAGGGTATTTATAAGGGGAGAAGGAGGGATAAAGATATTTAAGGAGATATTTTACTCATCTGTTCTCTAGTGGGACTGAACAACATTAAATGACTTCTTCTGATCATCCTACTGTTTGACAGGGATTAAGTGGCAGAGTGACACTTGGCTTCGGATGTGAGGTTCACTAATTGATCACTGTCCATCACCAGGCTGTATACCAGGGGTCAAATGGTAAGACGACACCTGGTTTGCGATGTGAGGCATATTAATTGATCCTTTCCCATCACCATGCTGTCCATCAGTCGGAGGGAGTGGCTGATTTCATAGGGGTCTGATCGTGCCTTAAGAATGTCAGTGCGCCTCTGGTTACTTAAGGTATTCCAATGGTCGGGTCAGTACTTGCATGCCCGATCACTGATTCACATTCTCCCATCAAGTTCGGCTAGGAGGCCTTTGGTTGACACCCGGGGTAGTACCTCTGGTCGGGTCGGTATATAGGGGACCCAGTTTCTCTTGGCCACGTGGTGTTTTCTGATAAGCTCGGCTTGCAGTGATGGTATGAACCATTAACAAGCTTCAAGCACATAACAAAATCTAAAAGGTATAGATCCAGCTATTTTCACATAACCATAAGGTTTAAATGCAATTACAAAAGTGAGCATCTTCAAGGAAATACGCAAAGTTGTATTTTAACAACATAAGTAACATGTTGTGGTACTCATTTGACTCATCAAGAAAGTTGGTCATCATTCCGTTGGGACCCAATATACTCATTGTTTTCCAGGTAGGCTGGGAATATTGTAAATTTTGCTTACTTGAATGCCTACTCCAAGGGAATGCTTTTGTGTTGTCTCTAGGGAAATAAAACTGCACCAAGACAAGACCCAAGAGAAAACGCCTAGCGGCAAAACAAAGGCAAAGGGTCAAAAAAAGGAAGACAACCAGAAGAAATCAAAGGTCAAAACCTATGTTGCACGGACACTCCAAAATGCTGGAGTGTCGGAGTGTCGGACACGGCAACACGGCGACACGGCTCCGACATGCCCCCGACACGCCTTGGACACGGTCAACGGTTGGGACACGGTTAAGACACGGCTCCGACACGGTCAAGACACGACAAGGACCATTTTGAAATTTTGAAAATAAAATATGGGGTCTAAACGTGATTTTTGAAACTTTGGTGGACTAATTTGAAATATTTTTTAAACAAGGGGCTAAAAATGGAAAAAGACTTTTTTAAACCTAAATCTCACCTTTTCTGCTGCCAAACTTCATTTCCTTCGTCACCGTTCTTCTCCTCCCGTTCTCCTGGTTTTGCACAAGGTAAGTCTCTTTGCAATTTTTTTTTTCTCTATTTTCAAATGCATTTATTTATGTTCTCTATTTTCTTTTCTTATCTCCCTCCACAGCAATAGAAGAGTTGGACTTGGTGGTGAGGTGACAATTCTTTCTTTTGTTTTTTCAAAGAGAAACACAACAAATAATAAAATGAAATCGTGGCCAAACTCGGGTTAGGCTTTACAACTTTTTTATTTTATTTCTCAGTTTTGATGTGTTTTTTTTTTTGTGTGGGTATCTTTGTATGATTGTATATGTATTTGTTTTTTTAATTTTTAATAAAAGTATTGTTACTTAGTTGTTGAGTACATTTGAATTTGGTTTATTAATTGGGTATTAGACATAATGAATGTGAACCATGCTGAAATTTTTTTATAGGGAAAGATGAATGTGAATCACTTGATGAACCGGAAGTAGAGGGCGTGTTGTTTTCTAATAACAACAACAATGAAGATATAGATGCTTGAAGAAGATTGAGAGTTAGATTATTTATGTTTTACTTTTGTGTTGTATTAATTATTATGTATGGATGATGAACATGAGTTATTTGTTTTGTTTTATGGAATTATGTGACATTGAAGTATTGAGAATAAATTATTATTTTAATTGCCGTATCCTAATTTTTTGAGATTTTCTGTGTCGCCATGTTGCATTCCCGTGTCCCGTACCCGTGTCCGTGCAACATAGGTCATAACACCAACCAAAGAATGAAACAAGATTTGCATGGCAAGTTTTAAATTACATGAAACAAAAATAAAATAATATTTTAATTTGGCACATCCGGTGAAATGTAAAAAAAACTATCCTACATTAAATTTTCACTTAAGTCATCATTAAATTCAAATTTAATGTTCGATATTTGATATTTCCGAATTCTATAAACAAAACAAACTTGGGTTGGGTTATCTGAATTAAAAATGTGGATTTGCAAATAGATAAAATATTACTTCAAGTTGACATCGACATGTCTTGTATGTCGGTCCAGTCAGTCAAACAACGAAGATTCAAGAATGAACTTTCCACACTACATTTTCTCCGAAAACTCCTAAGTCAACTTTTTCCAGTCAAAGAAAAAACAATACAAATTTATAAATAAACCCAATCCTAGACATGTATTTATAAAAAAATCCAAATACTATTTAAACATAGAAACACCCAAAATCAACCCCAAAATCAACAATTGTATATTTTTTTGGGTGTGTTTATAAATGGGTTTTAAGTGTGTGTAATGATCTTGTATGTCGGTCCAGTCAGTCAAACAACGAAGATTCAAGAATGAACTTTCCACACTACATTTTCTCCGAAAACTCCTAACTCAACTTTCTCCTATCAAAGAAAAAACAAACCATACCCCATCGTCATTATTTTCCCCGAAACCCAAGTTGCCTCTCTTAAATTCCCAGAGCAACGCGCAATTGTTAAAGAAAATCCAGGCAACTCCCACAACCAGATTTAGCATTCAAATTTCAATACGTTGACGTACAATCTCTAATATTCCCCTCATTTTATGGAAAATCATTTTTTTCTTTCTTAGTAAACTCATTTCAAGTCTATATAAAGGAAATGCTTGTCCTAAGCTCAGTAGGCTGTCTGTGGATTCGTGGGTTTTGAGGGTCCTCTGCAAAACATGGCCAAGATGGGTACTTCTTCCAGGGTAGCAGCAGCTATTGTTGTAGTGTTGGGTTTGGTTTTGAGCTTGGCAGTGGTGTGTAATGGAGGCAAAACAAGTAGTTTTGTGAGGAAAGTGGAGAAAACTGCGGACATGCCTCTTGACAGTGATGTCTTTAAAGTCCCTCCTGGCTATAACGCACCTCAACAAGTATGATCTCTCTCTCTCTCTCTCTCTCTCTCTCTCTCTCTCTCAGTATAATTAAGACAACTTTTAGTCAATTGTTGTGGAAGAGGAACCATAAAAGACCCTTTATTTAATTGAATATCTTTTATATAAATTTGTTCTTTTTTTATTGAAAATTGATGGCTTACTTCATCATTTGCTTTCTTCTTGATGGGATTGACTGATTAATAGGTGTAGTTTTGAGTGATTTAATTTAATTTTGATATGTGTCTGATGTTTGATTTAAGGTACATATAACACAAGGAGACCAGCTGGGAAAAGCAGTGATTGTGTCATGGGTCACGGTGGAGGAACCAGGTTCCAATACAGTGCTTTACTGGAGCGCATACAGCAAGAAACAGAAATCTGAGGGCAAAGTTACAACCTATAAATTCTACAATTACACTTCTGGTTACATTCATCACACGACCATCAGAAATTTAAAGGTAAACTTGATATGCCCATGTGCTTTTGCCTCATTTATTTTTCCTTCAAATCCATAGGTTGATTGTAGAATTTTCTGATTGTAATGATGATTGCAATCTAAGTGTAATTTACAAATTGTAGTGTGATCTAATCCTATACATTCTTGCACAGTTCAATACCAAATACTACTATGTGGTTGGAATTGGCCACACTGAGCGGCAGTTTTGGTTTATAACTCCTCCTGAAGTTGGGCCAGACGTCCCTTACACATTTGGTCTCATAGGTGAGTATTCCGTATCAGAGCATGATGCATTGTAAAGTAATGTAGCTATTTACATCTATTCTTGCACAGTTCAATACCAAATACTACTATGTGGTTGGAATTGGCCACACTGAGCGGCAGTTTTGGTTTATAACTCCTCCTGAAGTTGGGCCAGACGTCCCTTACACATTTGGTCTCATAGGTGAGTATTCCGTATCAGAGCATGATGCATTGTAAAGTAATGTAGCTATTTACATCTAGTTCAACTTTTGGCATTGGATTGAAAAGGAGATTTCATGCTATTGACTAACTTAGAGGTGTTGCAACGAGCCTCCTACATTCATCTTGAATGATACCAAACCAAATTAGAGTTCTTTATCTTATGAAACTTGTCCCTTAGTGTGCAAGTCTGTCATTTGAAACAGTTTTCCTTAACTTGGGAACTACATAATCGATGAGACGCAATTGCCTGTGTTTGTGAAATGTAAATTGTTCTTAAATCTAAATAACATTTTACCATGATGTATCATTTTCAGGGGATCTGGGTCAGAGCTTTGATTCCAATAAGACGCTTACTCATTATGAGTTAAACCCACAGAAAGGACAAGCAGTATTGTTTGTTGGGGACCTCTCTTATGCAGATAACTACCCAAATCATGATAATGTCAGGTGGGATACATGGGGAAGATTCACTGAGAGAAGTGTTGCGTATCAACCCTGGATATGGACTGCAGGGAATCATGAAATTGATTTTGCCCCAGAAATTGTAAGCATCTCATAAAACATTTGGTTGCTCTAGAAAGAGAGCTTATACTCTCATTAGCCATTTCTGGTCTTAGATGAGATCATTTGTGCTGTCTTTAGTATTACTTGTATACATGTGCTTGTCCTTCCAAATATCTTGTATTTGACAAAATTTAACCCAGTATCTACTGCTCATTTTGTATATGCATTTCCGTGTCCCAAAAAAGTCATTGGATGAAGCATTTTTCTAAAAGAAGATTGGAACTTTTGTTGCAGGGTGAAACCAAACCTTTTAAGCCTTACACTCACCGATATCATGTCCCATATAAAGCATCAGGGAGTACTGCTCCCTTTTGGTACTCAATCAAGAGAGCTTCAGCATACATCATAGTCTTGTCTTCTTATTCAGCATATGGTAAGGATATACATTTATGTTTTGGTTAATATATTAACATCGTGCAAAATTTTCTTTTGTGAATATAAAATGCATAACTATGCCACCCATAAATTTATTACAAATGTCATCTTGAAATAAATAGATAGAGACATACTTTGACCCCAAAAAAAAGTTAAAAAAGAAAAGATAAAAATATAACTGGATACTCCTTGCACTTGTTACATCAGCTCCTGTGGTCCCTGCTAATTTTTGGGTGGTTTGGAGGTTGGAATCCACAATAAACTTTAAATAGTTAGCTCTTTTTTTCATGGATTTTTACAGCAGTATACCGTATTCATCTCTGCAAATGACATCATGGACTGATTGTTTAAGTTATATCATACAGATATTTTGTAACGGCTGTTTTTAAAATGATAGGATTTTGCTTCCAAATTATCATGTACACCGATTAGAATTTCTTGTTCTCCACAGAACCTCCAGTCAATTTCCAACTCTGTAGAGAGGTCACATTTACAACGTCTGTGTTAAACTAAGTCCTTCAGCAATTTCATTTAACATATCATTTCCTTTTTCAAGGTAAATACACTCCTCAGTGAACATGGCTTGAACAGGAGCTACCAAAGGTTAACAGAAGTGAGACACCATGGTTGATTGTTTTAATGCATTCACCATGGTATAATAGTTACAACTATCACTATATGGAAGGCGAAACCATGAGAGTGATGTATGAGCCATGGTTTGTGCAGTACAAGGTTGACGTGGTATTTGCTGGTCATGTCCATGCCTATGAGCGATCTGTAAGTGCTTTATATACATGCCTTTGTCCCTGTGATTTGGTGTGCTGCTCTGCATAGAACTGGATATATTGTATAACAAAATAGTCTCTATTTGTACAACAAAGATTTTTAAATTCAACATATTGATTCGATTTATCGAACACTTTAATCTTTCGATAAATTATAGGAAACCCATTTCAGGGAACGTACATTGCAGAAATGCCTATACCTAATACTAAGCACACTGTATTTTTTTATTTTTTTTCCTTTTACCATCCTCCATCTACTGCCAAGATTCAAGATGTCAGGACTTGATAAGTGATTTCACTGATTTGTGTATACAACAGGAACGTATATCCAATGTTGCATACAACATTGTAAATGGTATTTGCATTCCCGTGAAAGATCAATCCGCACCGGTCTACATTACCATTGGTGATGGAGGAAATCTTGAAGGCTTAGCAACCAAGTAAGTATGTCAGTGTGCATGATAGATTTGGTGTGAAGTATGTCAGTATGCGCGATAGATTTGGTGTTAACTGTGTCAGTATTCGCTATAGATTTGATGTTCAGTCTGTCAGTTTGCGAGATAGATGGCGTAAAGTCAGTATGCGAGATAGAATTGGTGTTTTCTGATTCAATGCCTTTTGTTAGCACTGCATACTGAGTCTATGAAAATTTTCTTTTGTGATGCAGTATGACAGAACCCCAGCCGGCTTACTCAGCTTATAGAGAGGCCAGTTTTGGTCATGCTACTTTCGACATCAAGAACCGAACCCATGCATACTATGGTTGGCACCGGAATCAAGATGGATATGCAGTAACAGCTGATTCTATGTGGTTTTTCAACAGATACCATCATCCTGTTGATGATTCCACAAGTGCCCAATAATTAGAAGACGTTATGTTGCTATTGTTCTCTTGAATAAGCACCCAAATGTATCAGCTAATAAAAGATTCAATAGTTTATACCTTCCCCCAACTCTTACAAATTTGAATCTCATTTATTTTGTACTTTTTGAAGAAAAAGAAAAACCTAATAGAAGGAGTATCTGCATCATATCCTTGAGTTTCTAATACTTACAAGCCATGGAGGCTTTAAAACTAGAGAACCAACTAGATATCTACATTATCTCTGTAATGCCCTAAAGTAGATGACTCATTCAATATGCCTGAGTTCAGTGACCTGGTGATCATGAAACAAACTCTCAATATCATGTACAATAGACAAAAATGTATAAATTTGAAACTTTATTCTCATGTAACATACAAATTAGGACATGAGAATCTCCTTCGACGAATAAATCTGAAATTCCTAATCTTTGAGCCCAAGTTAACACATATTTTAAACCAATAGGGCTTCCGCTTCAAGCACATAACAAAATCCAAAAGGTATGTATGTATAGATCCAGCTATTTTCACATAACCATAAGGTATAAATGTTATGCAATTACAAAAGTGAGCATCTTCAAGGAAATACGCAAAGTTGTATTTTAACAATATAGGTAACATGTTGTGTACTCATTTGACTCATCAAGAAAGTTGGTCATGATTCAGCTGGGACCCAATTACTCATTGTTTTCCAGGTAGAGGGAATATTGTAAATTTTGCTTACTTGAATGCCTACTCCAAGATTGACCCAAAAATAAAATAAAATGAATGCCTACTCCAAGAGAATGCTTTTGTGTTGTCTCTAGGGAAATAAAACTGCACCAAGACAAGACCAAGGAGAAAACGCCGAGCGGCAAAACAAAGGCAAAGGGTCAAAAAAAGGAAGACAACCAGAAGAAATCAAAGGTCACAACACCAACCAAAGAAAGAAACAAGATTTGCAAGGCAAGTTTTAAATTACATGAAACAAAGGTTGCACTGAATAGTAGATTAGACTTAGACGCTAGTAGCTTGACCATATGCTATTTTCTCTAGGAATAATCAAACAAGAATGCACTTATGTTTCTCTTTCTCTCTCTCTCTCTCTCTCTCTCTCTCTCTCTCTCTCTCATATATATATATATGCAAACAATGCACTTTTCATGCTCAATTTTGTTCCAAAGTCAAACAATGCACTTGTCATGCTCAATTTTGTCTTCCCCAGAAGACAACTAAATTACAAGAAAGATAGCAACTGAACAAATCCAGGCAAAACAACTGAACAAAATCCAGGCAAACCCCATTCGTTTTTGGATTCGACTCTTTGACATCTAATCTGTATATTCGCATAGAGCTCTGACTAGTCCCCACATTCTGTGACAAGTTATAGAATTTGATTCTTTTCATTTATTGTTTCATGTGTATATAAAGGAAATTAGGGTCCATAGCTCAATGGGGCCTGTCTGGGTTAGACAATATGACCAAGATGGGCGTGGTGAGATTAGCTTCTTCTACTTCTGCTTCTTCAATGGTAGCCATTGTTGCAGTATTGGGATTGGTCTTGAACTTGGCAGTGGTCTGCAATGGAGGTATAACAAGCACTTTTGTGAGAACAATTAAATATAGCGCAGATATGCCGCTTGACAGTGATGTCTTTCAAGTCCCTCCTGGCCATAATGCACCTCAACAAGTATAATCTCCATCTCTCTCATTAGAATTAAGTTACTTTTAGCCAATGGTAGCTCAACTATATTACCTCCCCTGGAGAGAGCTTTGTCAAAGTAGTTCTTGTCTTTTGTTTTCTTGTTTTCAAAAATTTATGGCTTACTTCATATTTTTATTTTTCTTCATGATGGGATTGATTAGTAGGTGTAGTTTCTGATATGTGTGTGCTCTTGACTTAAGGTTCATATAACACAAGGAGACCATCAGGGTAACGCAGTGATCGTGTCTTGGATCACTGCTGATGAACCAGGCTATAGTGGGGTGATTTACTGGAGTGCAGATAGCAAGAATCAGACCGCTGTGGGCGTTGTTACAACCTATACATTCTACAATTACACTTCTGGATACATTCACCACTGCACTATTGGAAATTTATCGGTAAATTTCATGTCCTTTATGTTTTGCATTATATTCATTTTTTTCAAATGCATAGGTTGTGGAATCTGTACCAGAGAACAAGTTTGGAATTTTCTGGTTGAAAGTATGAATGTAGCCTAAGTATTTATATGTTGTAGTATGATCCAATTACTTCATAATTTTGTTACACTTCTGGATACATTCACCACTGCACTATTGGAAATTTATCGGTAAATTTCATGTCCTTTATGTTTTGCATTATATTCTTTTTCTTCAAATGCCTTGTGGAATCTGTACCAGAGAACAAGTTTGGAATTTTCTGGTTGAAAGAATGAATGTAGCCTAAGAATTTATATATTGTAGTATGATCCAATTACTTCATATTTTTAAGCAGTTCAATACCACATATTACTATGTGATTGGAATTGGCAATACTGAGAGGCAATTCTGGTTTACAACTCCTCCTGAAGTTGGTCCCGACGTACCCTACACATTTGGTCTCATAGGTCAGTATTTCGTATCGAAAGATCCAATATCATAAAGCGGTGTAGCTAGTAGATTTGGTTCAAACGTAATTTCCTGCTGTTGAGTGGGTTACAAGGTTTGTTTCAATGGCCCTCTCCCATTTCATCTTGCAAAACAAAATTGTTGCTAAAATCTTGTGAAACTTGTTCCTTAGTGTGCAAGTCTATAATTTGAAACGCTCTGCTTTATGGCCTTGGGAACTACATAATGGATAAGACACAACTATAAATTGTTCTGCTGCAGCGTGTGGTTAAAATCCAAACATCACTAACCATTTGTGGTATCATTTGCAGGTGATCTGGGTCAGACCTTCGATTCAAATAGGACACTTACTCATTACGAATTAAATCCACTCAAAGGACAAACAGTTTTGTATCTTGGGGACCTCTCCTATGCAAATGACTATCCATATCATGATAATGTTAGATGGGATACATGGGGGAGATTCACTGAGAGAAGTGCTGCTTATCAACCTTGGATATGGAGTGCAGGGAATCATGAGATTGACTTTGCCCCAGAACTTGTAAGCATCTCATAAAAACACTAGCTTGTCTGGAAAGTTATACTCTTGTTTATCTTTTCTCGTCTTCGATTAGCTCATTTTTTGTACAATTGTGTATTCACTTGTTGTAAGAAATACATGCATTATAAAGAATGATCCTCGTCTTTGGCAACCAAAGAGAAAGAAGGGTCTGCATTGTGTGAAATCTAAAGTACACTATTCTGTATAATAGCTAATGAACTTGAAATATAGCATCTTCCTCAACCATGATGCCATTGTTGTTAGTTTATTTACAGTTCTACTCATCCACTATATTTATCCCAGTATTTGCTGCTCTTTTTTTCTTTTTTTTTGAATTTTTCGAATCCTAAGAAAGTCATCAGTCGAAGTATTTTGCTAAACGAAGATTGGTACTTTTGTTGCAGGGTGAAACAATACCTTTTAAGCCTTACACTCACCGGTATTACGTCCCATATAATGCATCAGGGAGTACTGCCCCATTTTGGTACTCAATCAAGAGAGCTTCGGCATACATCATAGTCTTGGCTTCTTATTCGGCATATGGTGAGGATATATACAATATACATATACATAGTCCGACTCTGTGCAGGATGTCCTGTCTTTAATTTCTAATTTGGTAGTGAGATCTTCTGTACTATGTGTTCAAATTAATTGAGTGCTTCAGCAATTTCATGTTACATATCATTTCTTTTTTCTTAAGGTCCAAGCACTCCTCAGTACCAATGGCTTGAGACAGAGCTACCAAAAGTTAACAGGAGTGAGACACCTTGGTTGATTGTTATAATGCATTGTCCATGGTATAATAGCTACTACTCGCACTACATGGAAGGAGAAGGCATGAGAGTGACGTTTGAACCGTGGTTTGTCAAGTACAAAGTCGATATCGTATTTAACGGTCATGTTCATGCCTATGAACGATCTGTAAGTACTCAATATACGCATAAGAAACCATTTTGTGGAAAAGTATTTTGCAGAATGCAGAAATGCTGATTTAATTGGTATACACCACAGGAACGTGTGTCCAATGTTGCATATAATGTTGTGAATGCAAATTGCACTCCTGTGAAAGATCAATCTGCACCGGTGTACGTTACAGTTGGTGATGGGGGAAATCTCGAAGGCTTATCGACGGTGTAAGAATTTTATCAATATGCCAGAATTTCCTGCTTGTTAGCATTGCCTGATAGCTTAATGTGTGACTTTTTTTGTTTCTTTCTTGTGGTGCAGTATGACAGAGCCACAGCCAGATTACTCACTTTTCCGTGAGGCGAGTTTTGGTCATGGAATTTTTGACATAAAGAACAGAACTCATGCTTACTTTAGCTGGCACCGTAATCAAGACGGATATGCAGTGGAAGCTGATTCTGCATGGCTTTTCAACAGACACTATTATCCTGTTGATGATTCAAAGTCCATAAGAGCATGATCTTGATGGAAACAATAAATTAAATGCCTGAATGTATGAGTATCATTAGAAGATTCAATGTTTTCTTCACTGGCTATATATTTTCATGTGCTTTTATGCATGATCCTCTTCAACATGGACATAGGATTGAGGTTGAATCACATAAATCTTTGAACCCTTTTTCTTGTTTCTCTCTTTTTACCATCGAAAAATTGATTCCCGAGATCGAATGCATATTAAAACTTAAATCATTGACTTCTTGTTGTGGTTGCTTTGTGATATAATTTGCTCCTCTCTTTTTTGAGTTTATGATTCAAAAGAAAGCCACCATTCTGAAAACTTCACTAAGATAAGAAAGAGCTCAATGGAAGATCAGTATAGCTCAACTCACCTAAACCAACCTGGGCAGTTGCACTCTCCAATCTCTTTTAACAACTACCAAGGCAAAGTTGCCTCACCAGACACAATGAGGCAAAGTTGCCTTGCATGTTACCTTATCCATTAGAGCTTAGAGCATGTAGCAAACCTCACCCATTGCCTTGTGGGAAAATAGGAAAGCTAACCATTTTTTGAACATGTTAAAAACTTTTAGATCATCTTCGATGTAAGCGGACTCAATCCCAAATTTTGCCCTCGTAAAATAGAACAACTATTCATGTACACAGTAGTCTCAAATAGTGCAAAGTTAAAATTTGAGTCAGCAACTTTATTAATTGTTAAAAAAATAATTTTAACCTACAAAAAATTTGTGGTTAATTTTTCTCGAGAAAATTTTGCTTATACAATCATGATTTATTTTTCCGAATATTTTTATCGAAAGAATATTGAAATTTTAAAAACTTAATTTTATTTCAAATTTGTTTGTTCTGAATTATTTTCTGACTTGTTGCCCATATTATTTTGTCTTTTAAGCGCGACATCTCCATAATACCTTACTTTTTCGGATTCTCTATCTTCCTCTATCTAAGCCTACATCGGGTGATTAAGATTTTAAAAATCTGAAAAATTGGGCTAAAAATCTTGAACATGTCCAAAAAAATTTGAAGTTTCAAAGCAGAGGAGTGCGAGTCTGCAAGTAAAAGGGTTTTTTCTTTCCTTTTAACCGTTGGATGAGATTCAGTGTCATCTTATCTAACGGTTCCACAACAACGACCCACCTAAGACTCTTCTCTCAGAGTCAAACTATATACTCCTCCATAGACAAACACGTAGCCAAAGCTCTGAATCCAAACCCAGAACACAAAATAACCCAGATGGCGGAAGAGAAGGCCGTTAATGGCGATTGTGGTGATGATGGTGCTCCAGAAGAGGAGGAGAAGAAGAATGGTATTGCCAATGGTGATGGTGGTGCTCCACCAGAGAAGGAGAAGAAGAAGAAGAATACAGATCCACAGTTGTTGATCTGCTTGCTTCAGCCTGCTCCCGCCGACTCCGATCCCGACTACATTGGCATTCGTCGCCTTCTTCTCTCTCGCAAGCCCCAGTCTCCATTTCAACGCCGCCTTGTAATCTTCTTCTCTTCTTCTTCTTCATCTTCTGTGTTCAACAATTTACAGAATTTAGAAATTCATTCATTTCATGCATACTCGTATTGATTTTGATCGTTGAAGGATTGGAGATGCAATGGAAAAGGGTACGTTGCGTTTCGAAATTACATCCGGAGGCCGAGGAATTGGGAAAATATGCAAACTCCGAGCCTCCAAACCACTCCCGGAAACAGGTCCGTCGACCCATCAATTCATATCAAGCTTTTGCTTTGCTACTCTCTCAAACAAAACTGTGATGAAATCATAATTAATCTTTTTTAATTAGTGAGTTTTATGTTTTGTTTTCTTAAATTCGTAATGTATGCTGACATCAGGGTAATTTACTGCTTCATGCATCAGTGGGCGATGGATTCCACCTCCAAGTCCACGGTCTCTTTTGTATGAAGTCGAAAGCTGGAGCCCTGGCAGGGTATGTGTTTCTGTAATTCAAATTCCATTCCTTTCTGGGACTTTAATATTTTAATTGCTATATAAAATTACTTCAATGTCATTAGAACATTTTATTGTCACTTATTGAGTTATTTTGAAATATTTTCTATGAATTCAATTTTGGTTTCGGTTTAACAAATTTTGTCTTCAATGGGTGTATTGTTTTTTGTCAATTTAATAACATTTTTATAATATTATAAATATTATGTTGCAAAGTGGGCAGAAAGGTTTATGAGATTTTATTGGTTAATGTGGTGAGCAAACATACTCCCATAGTTTCCAAGCTGTAAATGTGATGACCCTTGGGCAAAATTTGGGATTACAATACAAAATTAGAATTTTACTTTGTTAACTGTTTTTTTCTTCCTTTTCGGTTGTGACCATGGGTTCATGTTGTATTTTTTTACAGGACGTCCAAAGTGGCAGTCAACCTTCGCCTCGCAGAAGTTTTGGCTCAAGTACTAGTGATAATGACCGCCCACGTAATCGGCGGGCTGAACCTGCATACTCGTTTGTAGGAATGCATTGCATCTTTGATCAGTGCAAAGCCTCTGGTAATTTTTTCCTTCAAGTACTAGAGCAATTGACCCCCTTGGTTGTGTTACTAAGTTGAGAGCGAATGTAACTTTTAAAAAGGAAGAAACCTCATTTGTTTTTATGTACAGTTACGGTTTTGAAGTTTGGGCACATGAGTTCTGATCTGCTTGCATATGGAGCATCAGATGGAACCTTGACAGTATGCACTGTCTCTGATCCACCATCAGTCCTCAAGCATCTGCATGGTCACTCCAAAGATGTTACAGGTTGGATTGACTGGTATTGTTACTGTTGTCTTTTTCTTTTGTATTTTCAATAATAATATTTGTAGCCCTGTTTGCCTGTTCTCCATAAATAAGTAGATTTTTATGGTACAAGATTTAATTTTGAGATTGTATCAGACTGGTAGCATAAGAACTCCTAGGCTTAAGCACCTTGCTCCAAGTAAACACTCTGGTACCACCAACATTTTTATTTATTTTTGCTTAATCCAATCAACTTGTGGCAGTAAAATAATAGGTATACTAAAAACTTTACAGTTGTTCAAAATGGTTCTGATGACTAAAAGGCAAAAGAATCATGATATGCAACATTGAGTCCGTAATTCTGTACTGGATGCAAATCTTCTAGTTTTTTTTTTTTTTTTTTTTTTTCTTTCTTTCTTTGGCACTATTAAAAACAAACTTTGTTTTGTTTCTGGATCATGTTTCTGAAATTCTAATTCATTTTCAGACTTTGATTTCTCATCAAACAATCAGTACATTGCATCCTCATCAATGGATAAAACTGTGCGAGTATGGGAGATTTCAAAAGGCCTTTGCATTCGAGTAATATATGGAGTTTCTTCGCAACTGTGTATTCGTTTTCACCCTGTAAGTGTATACAAACGTTAAGAACATTTGGCTCCTCAGAATTGCTGCAATCCATTTTTATATTTGTTACCTTATTATATGTGCATGTTTGAAATGTTTTGTATTTCATCAGTGCAAGTTGTTTTATTTTAGTCCAGATGTTAAATGCCTATCAGGCCTTTGGTTCCCGTCTCTACTAGATTCTCATAGAAGATTCTTTCCCACTAGACTCGAATCCCCCTCATTTGAATCAAGTTCCACAACCTTCATTGATTCAATTAATAATGGCTTTTCCCTTGACTTTCTGTGATGACGTTAGTTCAAAATTAAAGTTATCTGCCTTAGTTTTTTTATAATTATTCAAAACATGATATGCAACAGTGCAATTTAAGGTTTTGTTTTCTCTTCATCTCGTTGATGCAGGTAAATAACAACTTCCTTTCAGTTGGCAACGCAGACAAAGAAGTTACGGTAATGACTGAAACCTTTGCATGTTGCTTCTTCAGAAAGGAAAAGAACTTAGGTTCTGAATACCCTATGTTCATGCACAGCCGAATTTTTGGCCGTCATTTTTCAGTAATGTTTGTATTTCAAGGACATTATCATTATATTTGATTGGTGGCACTTCTACATCGATATATCAGGTTTTCAATTTCAGCACAGGGAGGATCATTCATAAAATATTTTTTGACAGTGAGGTTACTTCCATGGACTATGCTCACACTGGACAGCTCATGTTCTGTGGGGATGCGATGGTGTGTCATTGCATATACTTATTTCAAGTTCCCTTCTGATGGGCTTGCATATCCTCTTACTGATGTAGTCCGTTGTATGATTCGTTGCAGGGGTGTATCTATTCAGTAAGTATGAATTCTCACACAGGAGTATTATCCCGCTCTCATCGCCATCGAAGTAGCATCAGGCGCAAATCTCCAGTCACAACTGTGCAGTACCGAAGTTTTTCTCTGTTGGCTCGGGGCCCTGTGTTGCTGACGTGTACTCAAGATGGAAGTTTGTCTTTCTTCAGGTTTGGTCACAGAACATGCCTTGTTACTTTTGTTGTTTATTTAAAGCACTGACAGCAAGATTGGTATGTTGTAGTGTTGCTCTGGAAATACAGGGTTATTTGACTCTCCGCTGCTCGCTCAAATTAAATCCACGGATATACAGCATCCGGGCTTCTTTCTGCCCTCTGCTTTCCCTTGAAAAAGGAGAATATATAGGTGTGTATGTCAACATCAACGCTACCACATACTTCATTACTACTTTTTATGTGGGTTTACTGACATTGTCTTGCTGTTACTACTTTTTATGTGTGTGTGTGTTTACTGACATTGCCATGCTGTTAAAATACCCTAGTTGCCGGAAGTGAGGATTCAAATGTGTACTTCTATGATTTAACTCGGCCAAAGCATACATGTGTAAACAAGCTACAGGTTCATCTTATTCATATACAAGGCTTTAATGGTTTCCTAGTCTCAAATTGGACCCGAATGACCAAAATATATGTGACTGCAGGGTCATCGATTTCCAGTTATCGGTGTTGCTTGGAACCATGGAGAGAACTTGTTAGCATCATCCGATTTCTATGGTACGGTTATTGTATGGAAGAGATCAAAGACAGGCTAAAACAAACATATACAGCGAGATACAAGTTTCAGTTCACACGTGCAGACTGCTTAATTCTTCCATTTTTTTCGCCCCGAAATTATTTCTCCCTAGAAAGTCTCGTATACTGTATTATAAACTGTACCAAGCAGATAAGAATAGGGTGACATTACTTGTATAAGTGTTTGTATCCATTGCCAATTTTATATAAAGTCACCAAATTTTTTGAATCGAGACACCAATGCAAATGAGATGTACGTTTCATGCCATAAACTCTGAATAATTTGGTGTTCAAGTGGTGCTCTGTGCTTTATAGTTGATAGTGAAAAGCTTAATGCAAGTTCTGATATCCTTATGAATGCCAATTTTATTCGTTTAGCCTTCAGCTTTGTCACAGATGAGATAATTACTCCATCTTCCTGCGGTAGCTTTTAGCTTCTATATCCATAATCTCTCTCAAGTTGAAGTTTGAGTTACCTGGGGTTCAATTTGTACTGCAGAAGAAAAAACATGTTATGCACAATAACACTTTTCCTTTAAATAAACATTCAGAATATTAAAAAGAATAATGAATTTAATTACGAAGTTGGACGCAATTGTTGAATATAAGAAAAAGAATAATGAGTTTGTGATCATATATTCCTTTATACATCATATTCTAGAGAAGCCTTTTTTGTTTGACAAGAATTATTCCTTTATGCATATATTCTAGAGATCAAAATAATGAAAATAAATAACTAAAAAGACAAAATCGTATTTAATTTTGGTTATATATTATTTAGAAGGTATGATTGATCGTAGTTGGAATTTCAGAACCTGGCTTTTGTGTTATAATCATGATGATTCCTTACTCTATTTATAGTTTTAAGCTGCACTTATTCCCAACATCCGTTGTAGTCTAGTTGGTCAGGATACTCGGCTCTCACCCGAGAGACCCGGGTTCAAGTCCCGGCAACGGAATTATTTTTTGCGATTTTGTTTCTTTTTGCGGCAATTTTTTTTTTTGGACACGTTGGAGGGAATGAAACTTGGACCACTCTTTAATTCTATCCCTTAATAGGGTCTAAAAATTTCAATTGAACACTACTTAATAGTTGAGTCATCCCTTTTATCCGCATATCACAGACTTGTCCTTACATGGGCGCCTTCATCCTTTTGATATAACAAAATCACTATGTTCTATGGGTGAATGTCAGGTTCATGTTTTATGTAGTACTCATAATAAAATCACGTGTTATAACATGAGTTGATTGGTTATACCACGTGAAATTATTTCATCACCTTAATAAATTCTTGACCTTAATAAATTCTTGCCAGCATAGCCAGAGTGCACCCGGCAAACACCAACAGAAACCGCAGCAAACGCGGCCATCATGTGTACGTAGAGAATCATAACAGAAGCATGTCCCATGCTTTAGAATAGAGATTTTCTTTTGCTTTTATTTGGTTTACCCCCCCAATACGATGTGCAAAGATCTATTGTAGATATTTTAACAAGGCCCATGTCCCTTGCTTAATTAGATTTGGAGGATCCACCATATTGGGAGAACTGAGTCATTAGATGAGGCCCTATCTCGTTGGATAAAACTAACCAATTTCATCTATCGGTTAAGAGATAGAGTCTCATCTAAGGGCCTTAGTTAAGGCTCTCACTATAGAATTCTATTGGGAGAACCGAAAAGAAAGAATCGAATTGTAGAAGGAACAAACTCTTGAGACATTATATACATTTGCAGAAGGAAAAAAAAAACAGAAATAGTATCCAACTTCTTAATGCTGCATCTAGGTCTAGCAAGAGGACCCAAACAATATATACCAAAGTGAAATAGATTAGCGTGAAAAGCCTCTATCTATTGCTACTGTGGTAACTGGCAAAATACTTTGGGATTATTCACAATCCTAGGGGAAAGGGAGAGTGAGGGAGAGAATCTAAATTACATATAATTACACACAACCAAACACATCCTCGACCTTTAAAAGAGACCGGGGAGATACCTCTAACCAAATAGACACCATAAAGGTTTTCGAGCTGGTTTTCGTCTTCCCATTAACTCATAAATACACACAACTTGTGGTGCAGATATGCCTCCGTGTTTGCTTAAGCCCTAACAAAGATCCGAACAAGAGAACCTCTAGTTCATCAGATTGATTTATATACAATATCACCTCCGACGCCGTTTTGTATCCACCTGAAAGACAGCATTAGTGAAAGTCAAGGAATACTAGTAACTAAGGGCAGTGAGTTCATATTCACTATATACACAGATTATGCTCATTTGCTTACAGGGGATGCTAGACCCAACAAATATCAATGATACACTCATTGTTGGTTCTTTTGATATCTAAGTTTTACATATAACCCACTATATCTTCTCGTAAAAAATAAATTACCTGCATTTCTATACACTTTTTTACCTCATAACAAATATTTACGCTTTTCCATTCATATAAACTAGCACAAATTAATGAACCTATATGCAAACACATCGGAATCTTTTGCATTGGCATTACACTTCCTGATTGCCTGTTAAATGAAGTTCCTTGCACGATGCATACAAGCTTGTCCGGGAAATTTATAATGAGTTCTTTCGATTCAATTCTTTTCCCCTTTTTACTGGTTCTCTGGGAGACTGGGATAACGTGGCATTTAAAAAACTGATTTTAAAAGTGAGACTATATATGTATCACACCCATGTCTTGGGATCGAATAATAATGGATAGAATGAGAAGTAAATAAACTATTACAGAAGTTAATAATTCTAATTGGTAGATATAAAAATGAAACATACCCAATAACCTGCCAATTTCCAGATGACAGGATAGAGTCCACAAGTAACCAAGAAGCACAATGACAAACCTAGTTCAAATTTATCCAACACTAAAGAAAAAAAGGAGTACCTTTGTATCAGGGTGTTTGGAAGCAGTATGGGAATTCTGCAATTTCTTTTGACCCTCGGAAGAACAGCCTTCACAGAAGAAGTGGTCAAGTCTTTTAGCCTCCTCTGCATTCATGTCTATACAAGCAGGATGAAACCTGAATCAAATGCAGTAAAATGAAGATTTCATCTGTTTTATAAAAGGACTGGAAAGATGGAGAAAGTAAACATGAAAATAGACAAAGTGAATATGAATTATGAAAAGGCATATGAAGGCATAAGCATTCCACGCCTCGATGCCTTTAATTTACTTCTTTTACTATTCCCAAGAAATAGCCTCAAACGTCAACCTCAGGAGCTGCTGAAAGCAGTAGCTTAGAAACACAACTAATTCCCAAGGCACACCAGCACAAGGATATACACTTAGCAGCAAAATTTCTGCTCATTCCATGAACAACATTGGGAATTTAGGACGCGTTTGCAGAAATTTACCCATACAGAAAAGGGTAAAGCAACACTTTTAATTTTTAGTGCTTCTTTAAATGGTAAACTTCTTTGGACTTAGAAGCACTTCAAGACTCCATTCAGTGCACAATTAGACAATAATGCCTAGCTGATTCACATTTAAACAGTTGCTCATAATTATTTACATGATGATTAAATCTTTGAAGGCACCTCGCCCATGCATGTTTGAATTCAGATGCAGAGTCACCAACACAATTTCATCAACACGTACCTGCCAAGTAGAAGAATGATTTGAACTCTGCCAACTTCTATGAACTGGATACAGTCCTTTTATAAAAGCCTTAGAGGTATACTAGATGGTGAGATACTACCCCAACCTAGTTTTTCCCAAGCTTAATTTAACTTAATATATTTTTTTAAACGAATTTAACTTGATATTTAATAATCCATTTTCTGACATCTAATATCATGTAAATTACCGCCATTCATGCCTCTGAATTTACTCTTATCTTGATTTTCTAGATGAATACTTCTGCTGTACAAGTTACTAAAGCATACATGAAACATATCCTCTCCTGAAATAACTTCCTAATCTACAACCACTAACAGATGTTTAGATTTCTCTCTTTCCACTATTGCAAACATCATGTCTCCATATATAGAGTACATTCACTTGCCATAAATTACCTGCCACATTGTTACGTATAAAACCCTCAGTGTGCAATATTTTTGTACAAACATGTATTGATTAATCATGCACAGCTATAATAATCAATCCTCCACAGCTGTAATAAGTGTTTCGAAAGAAAAAGGTTTTTGGAAACTTGTTTCTCAGCAGTTTTATTGTGTTGGAAATATACTATTATAAAAGACCATCCAAATGAAAACTAAATAAAATGATTAAAGAAATGAAACCAGAGGGACTTCAGAATGAGGTTGGTTCCTCAGTCTTTTTGAATTATATTCGCAAGAAAATTAGAAATATGTGAAGTCATTCTGCACATAATCTATCTAGCAAAAATGCTATACCCCACTGATAAAAACAGAAAGTGACATAATTAAATAATTAATAAGGCACATACACAATGTCCAGACAAGTATGGCTTAATCAAAGTCAGAAAGGTCTCTGGGAAATGCATAAAAGGTACAAAGTCATAATCTTAGAGAAATAGTAATGGAAAATAGTAAAGTTTCATTGTCATCGATAACAACTGCATGCACACCTAAACTAAAAAACTAATCAATAAAAATTTGTCTAGAGCTATACGAAATATTCAGAAGAAGAAGCAGCTTTTCAACTTTATCATAAAAAATTTAATCTACCATTCCTGAGGCAAAAGTGCTGGAGGGGCACAAATGATTGAATAGCTGAACATCTAACTTACCAATCACTACAACCTTCACACTGAACCATAAGGTCATCAGGGTTGTAAGGCATCTCACACTTGCAATACCTGCCACATGAAAATAGAAACTGTGATAAGCAAGAACTGCTCAAGTGAAATTACCCAATATCAGTTATCCCCAACCCCAAGGTTGAAACAACATCAGCTTGTTATTCACAAAAGTCAAACAAATGGTTCTCATCAATAAAATAAAATTGGGGGAAACCTATATAACGAATGAAATTATGGGAACTTAAGTTCAAGGCTCAAATATATTTTAGTTATAATTCACCAAACTCAAAAAGCAAGTATGCACAGATATATAACTGAAGGAGGGAAAATGAAAACTTGAGCATAAAGTTCCATTGTTTAACAGAAAGGGGCAAAACTAACAGGAAAGTGAGAAACCAATGTGGCACCATGAAGAGAAGATATATATATGTATATATATAGCATAGTTTGCACAACAGATAAAACCAAAAACCCCAAAAGAATTTAAAAAGGTTTTAGGTTTTAGTTTTGGTTTTACGTATTCTCCTTCATTTCTTTCTCACCTCTAGCGTATTTCATCTCATTCACTTCATTGTCCTATTCTTTATCAGAAGAGCCTAAGTTTCTAAATTGCATGGAATAAACTATAAAGAGTTAGCTAAAGTCCCATGCTTTTACATTCAATTCAATAGAATACTAAGGAGAGCATATAACTGAAGCACAAAATCACTAACAAACACCAAATAAAAGTTGAATTCAAGAACACCTCAATCGCCAGTTCACTTCAATTCAGCCAATTTTAGTCAAAATAGTAAAAAACGATGAGCTTAGTGAGAAAAGGAGAAATGTACACAGCGACACGGTCGGGATTGAAAGCTCCGGTTGAGGAATTATACTCGAAACGACAGAAGAAGTCGTCGTTCCCAACAGCGTCGAGCTTGGTATAGCTCTTGAAGGTGTGCACCGTACACTTAGCCTCGATGGTGTCGGCGCTCTGAACGTCGTGGTGATCGGAGAGAAACACCTCCTTGGAGCCGTGAAACTGTCGCCGGCCGCCGATCGACTCCTCCGGCCGATAGTACCAGCGCACGTGCACCTTCACGTTGGAGCCGCGGCTGTCCGCCTCGATCCGCTCGATTTTCGCCACGTACGACGGTTTCCCGGAATCCGACGGCCGCATCAGCACGCAGTCCCCAGCTGATCGCCACAGAGACAGAGACAGGGACAGAGAGAAAGAAAAATCAAAATCAAAATCAAAATTTACAGTGAATTGAAAATTCGAATTTGATTTTTTTTCTAGAAACTACCTCTGACGGTCTTGTTGATGTGCTTGACAGTGTAAGAGTCGAGTGTTCGTCTCGCAGCTTTTGGTTTGGCCATGGCGAATCGTTTGTAGAGATTTTCACAAACTCATCGGCCAAAACCAAACAGAGAGATTTGGAAGAATCTGGAATTTGGAATTTTTTTGAATTGAAATTGAAAACAACTCAGAATTTAATTAAAAAATAAGCGAAAATTATATGATTCGTGCAATTCCACGTAGAGTCCAATATTATTTAATTAATTTTTCGAGTGGTGGTGATGGGATTGTTCGTACGTATAGGAGGACTTTTTGGTTGTAGGGTAGAGGCGGGCACAGTAGATAATAGCTTTCTTTACGCGCCTTTTTTAACGTATTTGATCGCATCTACCACCGGTTGTCGTGCGTGTATATATCTAACATAGTATTATAATAATGACAGCGTGTTGACTGGGGTCTTTTCTTTCTTGACTTTTTGGAACATGTAATTTGTTTTTGTTCACTCTCAAATACGAGAAGAACTTGGATGTGAGTGCTGGGGTCTTTTCTTTCTTGACTTTTTGGAACATGTAATTTGTTTTTGTTCACTCTCAAATACGAGAAGAACTTGGATGTGACGCACATAGTCCAAAATATCGATAATATCAACAAAATATTTAAAGTATTATTGTTTTTTTGAGTTAATGATATTTAGAAACGTATCCATACACATATCGTATAAATATCGATAATATCGAACAATATTGATGTCGATAATTTCTCTCACACTTCAGTAATATTTGACTAAAATATTGCTATAATATCGATAATGTCGAGATGATGAAGATAATGAAAATTTTAAATATTTATTTACACTAACACCCCCTAAGGTTTATTGTATTTTCACAAAACCCCCTTAGGTCTCAAAAATTACATGAACACTCATCCCCTAGGTTTCAATTTGTTTTCACAAAACTCCTTTTCATTGATTGTTTGTCCCAAAATTGATGATTTTATTGAGAAAAAAAAACTTATGCAAATGACAAAATTAACCTCAATGAAGTATATGTAATCTAATATCAAAGGCCATTTGGAGAGTTTTTTTTTTATAAAATCATCAATCTTTGGATGAAAAATCAATGAAAATGAGTTTTGTGAAAACAATTTAAAACCTCAAGAGGAGTTCTTGTAATTTCTAAAACCTCAAGGAGTTTTGTGAAGAAGCCGAAAACCTCAGGAGGTGTTAGTGTAAATAACTCAAATTTGAACCTTATAGGAACTCTATGTGGTACTAAGTCACTCATGTATCTTACCATGCAATGTATAAAATATAAAATATTTTAGTAAATCATTATAAATAAATGATAATGGTGTGCTTAATCTTCTTTCATTTATTACTACATATTTTCTACACTCGAAGTGTTTGTCATCTCGCTATATAATCAACTTAAATCAGTTAAACCCATCATGCAATGCATTTACTTCCAATTTTTTGTGATAAAGTAATAGATAATTGACTAAATAAACATCCTCCAAAGTTTCAAGAAAAATTTCCAAGATTTTCTTACAATTTCCATGTTTTTTATTCAATTTTTATCGATATCGATAATATCCCGAAATTTCCATGTTTTTAGACTACCGATATTTCTGAAATCATCGATATTTTAGACCTTGGTCACAGGGACATGTCAATGTTTTGCTATTCCCATTTAATCACGTTTCGTCTGATTAAATCCTTATTACGCGTGGCAGTCCTATGAGTGGATTAAATATTGTAGGTACAAGGGTAATTGCTCTGAATTACTTGAGCTACCAATCATTTATTATCCAAGTTTAATTTTGTGGGCTTACGTTGATTACAGATATAAGTTTATTAAATGAATTTCAGATTTCAAATGTTGGGGCCTATGGAATTCCTTAGGACTCGTCTGAGAGTGATTCTGAAACCACTTAAAGTGATTATATGGAGAATCCTTCTACATAGAAGTGCTTTTTGGCCTATCAAGAATCACATCCAAATGAACCCTTAGTGACTTAACTTCTTAGAAATATGGATTAAAGCTGCCTATCAAGTGTGGATATTCAAGTTAGCATATGTTAAACTTCTTAATAGTTAGGACTCTATCAGATTATCATCTGTAAATTAGTCTAGCCCATTAAAAGACATTGTGTGAAGTTGTTTACATATGTATATTGTCTTGAGTGTGCGTATGTTTCTTCACGATTCAATTTATATAGGCCAAAAAGAGAAAGAAAGAAGCAATGGGGACCAATAGATGCCCATTAACACACCCAAGGTCCTAGATTCAATTCCGTCCTCCGTCAATATCACTTGTATCAAAAAACATCCATTGCCTAGTTTCAGAAAATTGGTAATCTGACTACAAGTGGAAACGACAATGTTGGTCATATAGGTTGAATTGAATTGCGATTTTGGACCTAATTACACTTACAAGTTACAACCATAGACGATACTTACGTTTCCATAAATAAAAATGTGACATTCTATATTTTGCTGCTAACAAATTGCTCTGTTGCTGATCCAATTTCTTTCTTTTTATGGAATTAGATTTTCTCAACTTCCTCTTAAACCCTTCAACTTGTGGCAATTTAAGTACTTATATAGGGGCACAAACAGCTTCCACAGACAACTTCTTCAGTTTGCTTGGACATGGGTCCTTGCCAAAGTTGGTACTTGATATGGTCACTGAACATTTCTGCTTACCTATGCACTCCTGTAAGAAGACAGACATCAGGAAAAAAGATGCAAAGAAAATAAGAACTTATTCTTTAATTCAGAATGTGTTGTTGGAATATTATTATATTATCTAGATTAGGTTGAAAACCATATTGTTTAATTGAAAAAAAATTTAACGCTTTTTTCTGCAGCAAATTAGGAGCATTCTGAGAAGTACCTTTTCCAGGACAGCATTTGAGTTTGGAGCATGACAGGCACCATGCTGAAAAGTTCCACAGCTTCCAGATGGAGTTCCAAAGCTTGAAAATTTAATGGCAGAAATGGAGTGTCCCTCTGTACAGTGTAGGCTAATTTCGGGCTTATTTTGCTCTTCCAGTTGGCCATGGCTCTCAGTTTGCCAATTCCTGAAGTGAGGGTGGTTTTCAGAAACCTCAGCACAAACACTTGTCACTGATTTTTTTACTAGACCAATCCTTGATACATCACCACCAATCTCCTCAAAAACTACCAATAGGTTGTTAGACGGCTTTAGGAAAGACCGAGGAACGTGGTACCTGAAACCATAGCATAACAAAGATGGATAATTAAAGTGGTTCTTATTGTGTTGTCCAAATTGGTTTATGAATAAGTTGTGTAAGAAGTTTGCACCATTGTTGAGTTGGATGCTGGCAACCAAATTGGCAATTCTTAGGCCTGAATGTACCAGAATAAGCGCATTCGCTGCAGTTGCCGGTAGCATAAGTAGTCCAGTATCTTCCAATGCTCTGCCCATTGATCCATACTTGACCCTTCCCCATACTCCCCATGTCCAAAGCCAAGGGGTCATCTCCTTTTGGTGCATCAAAATTGGCCTGAGGGTTCAACCAGAGCTGTCTGTTACCAACAATGCTCAATGGTTCTAAGGGGGCTTTGAAATGAATCTAAGCTGCTGTTGGAGACTGAACCAACTCCAATTCACCCTCCAACCCTCAGTTGAATTCTTAGATATAAACAAAGGAAATAAGAAACAAAAACCATTCTAGTCGAGCTTCAATGTTTGAAGGAGCATTTCCATACCTTATACCATGTCAGCGGCTGCTGTATTTGTGCCACTAAGGACCCCTTCATCCAATCCACTGCCGAGATGGAATGTAGAGCACCCAGATTCATGTCTTCTCCTTTTAGCCCAACCTGTATAAAGAAACAATAGTAAGTTGGGGCTCCTTGGCCATACAAGTATGTCACCAAAGTTTAATAAATGTATTGTAGACCTTGTATGACCATTTCTGCCATGATAAATCTCTCTTTCCTTGGTCTAGTCCATGTAGAACAACTGGTCCCAGCACCCCTGTGCTCCGCGTCTCAAAATGAGGACCATTGTTCTTTGACGACATCAAGCAGAAAGTAGTTCAGTTAAAATTCAACAAAAGAAGTGAAATATGACAAGAAAATATAAGACGGGATTCAATCTTTTTAGAGAGAGAGATCAATATAAGCAAAAATTCATAATGTTTCGACATAAGTAAATAGAAGTTTCAAGTGCCTATGACACATCTAGAGAAAACCTTTTACTTATTCCAAATCCAAAACCTTCCCCAAGGGTCTTAGCATAAGCTGCTAGCCTCCGGGATATAATATCTTTACTTCATGATACTACTAGATGGCATGAATGCAGTTATGCTAGCATATCACAAAATAGATTGCACACACTAGAGATAAAATTTAAAGTATTTAGAGAAACTCTGTGTACATCCATGGAGGTAGATAGTCCGCTATATAAACCATAGACACATTACAAAGATACAAGAGTACTTACAGACAACAAATCAAAACTTCTAATCCAAGTAGAACGTTACAATACTAATCAAGCCACATTATAGGTAGCTGAGACATAATATCCAACAACAAAATTGTTTTTGTAAACTAAGTATTGGAAGTTAACAAAAATGGAAATTAAAGAACTAACCGCCAATCCAACAGCTATACTGAGAAGTGAAATTTTATTCAGTCCAGCATGCAGGTTGACATTTCCTGTAAAAGTGAATCTCCTGTATTCCCTAGTCCCGTAAGCCGATCCTATCATTAGAGCACATCACCAACACTTAAATATCAAGGAAATATTTCTTTTAAACAGACTCAGGGAACTATTTGCCTTCACATCAGTAACTAGCTGGTGCAATTATCTAAACACAAGATTATCAACAATTTACCTGAGAGCTGGTCATTGATAAAAACATGCAGAGCATCTCCGGCTGACTGCACGGTTAGACTGGGATGCTGGTCTCCATGCAGAAATGATTCTGATGGACTTATGTCGACGCTATAAACATCAAGTTATTGGTAAATTAATTTTGATAATAGGACTTACAATTTCAAAGATATGTTGAGTATAAAACATTTTAGTGGTTTTATCTAACCTGGTTGTGTACCACAAATAATCACTGGAGTCTCTAGTGATGTTCAACTGATCTAAGAGGCCAATGACCGTGATTGTTGTATCACCAGCCACTGAAGAAATGTCTTCGTTGAAGATTTCCCATGAGTGCAACTCAG